TATGTAAATTAATAAAATAATGTACTAAAGTCCCAAGTAAAATACAAAAACTACACAAATCTATAATAAAATGAGACTCACTAAAACTGAGACACAAAAGAAATACTTGGACAAATCAAGTTAGCATTGACAACAGGGTTCAATATATTTTTATTGGGGAGAAAAAAAGAAGAGAGCTGGAAAACAGCTCCACATTTTAAAGAAAATATCAACACTCTATTATTTAAATCAGCTTGGCAATGACTTTTTTCCATGTTTATGAGTAGATGTATTATTTTTTAAGCATGGGAGAGAACAAGAAAAGGAAGTTAGAAAAATACCATTCTTTTACATTCTCCCTCAAAACTACAAAAGCTCCAGCAAGCTATATAAATCTATAAAAAGTAAAAAATTAAAATAGTCTTAAATTGCTTTAAGGAACATATATTGATAAAGAAATGTAATTTATGACAGTTCTAACATACACTGACATCACAGTATTCCTATTTAATTATTTAGCGTTTTCAATGTAAACACAATAATGTCTGTATAAAAATGACATAAAAAATGTATTGCTCTAAGTTAGTTGCAAAACTTGGTTTCAGATCATAATTGTATGAGAGGCTTTTAAAAAAAATAATAAAGATTGATGAACTCAAAACAAAATAACATAAAATTTGAAATGTCATTAAAACTTGCTTCACAATAATTTTGGGCAGGTAGGAATAACAGTAAACAAGACTGGCCATTTGTTGTTAGTGTCAAAGGTGAGTGATAAGCTCCAGTGGGGGAAAGGGGTGTCAAAATTCTCCTCTTTCTACATGTATTTATCTTGGAAGTTGTCCATAATAAAAAAGTTTTTAAAAACTAGAAAACAGGCTCATTAAATCAGAAAAACTAGTCATATATGGAATAATGCATTTGTTTTCAAAACTTTGGAACAAACAATAATAATTATAGCGAACATAGGGCACTTAGAATATAGAATACATACAATAACATTTAGGCCATAGATAACCATTTTCACCTGGCTTGCTAAATTTTAATTGATAGAAGCAAATCGGTTTTTATACTCTGGAAATTAAAAGGAATTATGCAGCACTGTACAAAGAAAAATGTAACAACTGAAGACTCCAATGAATCTTTAAATGTGTAAGGTTAGAATTAAATATAAGTGTGTATAGACTACTACCCTGCATTTCAGAAAGCTAGTCACACTTAACAGCAATAAAGATAAAAGGTTTAATCTCATATCATGCACCAAATGTTTACAAAAACTCATGTACAAACTACATTCTTGATATAGTTTTGATATCTCACATTTTTATAACTCTTTCTAAGAAGGATTCTTTTAAAAGTAAAGCATTTTTATAGTCATTTTCTTCTTCTCCTTAAATATAAAAAATACTTGAACAAGCCCAAGCAGCCAAGCAGGCCTTTCTCTTCCCCTGCGACACCTCCTGCAGCAGAGAAGTTCATTAAGTTTTACGATCTTCCCAAGTCAGTCCTGCTTATCGGCCTCACAAAGGCTACAAATCTGGCAAACCATCATGTATGTCATTAGACATTACTAGTAAATGAATGCTATTTAGGCTTTGTGGTGGCAATAAATCAGAATTTGGTTGGCAGCTATCAATATTGAGTATTTTAACCTACCATTTAAAAAGGAAATGATGTTTTTTAATACACAAATTTTTTTCACAATATTATGATTCAGATTATATACTGAAATATCAGATTTTCATTTTAAAAGCTTTTTTCCCTGAAAAAATTTCTTCTTTCAAATTCTCATAATTAAGGGCTTGAGAAAAAAAAAAAGCAGATTTTTGAGGATGGACAATTTCAAAGTACTTCAAAAATCAAGATAAAGGTGGCCAAAAAAGAGGCAAGGGAATCATGCAGATGAAACCTCCTAGCATCAGGGAAAATCGTTAAGAGATAGATGATAAAACATGGTTTTAAAAAAATCAGGAGAAAAATCTGAACCTATCAACAATTATCTCACTGGTTGCTTACCTTCTTTAAAATAGACACATATCTTTATTTTAAAGCCTATAACTTTTCAGTTGTTTTCAAAATGTATAAATGTCACAATTCAACAATGAAAGGCATTTCTCCCCAAAAATAACTATGATAAATTTTACAAAAGAATACATTTTCAAAAAAAAGTAGCATCTTCTAGTAAAGGTAGACTTTCCCTATCTCTGAACAAGAAAATTGTGGTAGATTATCCACTTATCTGTCAGAAGGGAAAAACAGCTTTTCATATTTGGTAGGGGAAAAAAAAGATGTTTCCCCAACTAAATCCCTCATGTGGATCAGAACTGGCGGTTTTTGTTGCCTGATCAGAAACCTTGGAAACTGGCAAGATACACTGAATTTTTTTTAATGATTTTGTCTTATTTTAGAAGAAAAGCAGAAACAAAATGACATTATCCACTGAAGTGACAGTTCCCCCACACCCCTCAACTTGTCAACCCCCTCCCCTCCATTATGCAGAATAGAGTCATCACATAATATCCCTGGTTTGTATTCAAATAATGATGAGGTAAACTTTCTCTAAATTATGAAGAATTAACCTTTGGATAGCATGCTGATAGCTTAAATAAGACTAAAGTATTATATAATCTACATATATTCTGTAACAGTTAAGTTCATAACGTCTCTGAAGCAGGACTGTGGAAGCAGATAGGGGACAGAGTCTAGAATTTGCTGCCCCGCTTCCTCTGCTTTGGTAACACTAATGTCTACACAGCTGTTTTGTTTCAAACTGAGGGCTCTGAGTCCACCGATCCTGTCTCCTTCTAAGCCTAGTTTTGAAGGGTGAGGTGGAGCTATGGATAGTTGGGGAAAATGAGAGAAGAGAGCTTGTTTCACCCCCATCAATCACTCAGTACTTAAATCCCATCCTCTCATGCTTCAAGAGGATGGCAGGAAGATGCCTCTGCCCAGACAGCCGCCTTCACTCTTTGTCAGCTGTTGGCTTTTTACAAAAGAGATAACGCACAAACTTGAATCTGCTGGCCAATGCACAAAACGATCTAATAAGTTATCACTAAAAACCCCAAAAACAATTTTCAAACACAAAAAATTTCTTTTATCAGCTACCTCTAGCTTCTTGAATAGCAATAGTTGTACCAAAGATCTCTCTGTAGTAATCCTAGGCTCTAAAAAGATTTGTTTCTTTTTGTAACTCACCTTTGACATGTGGTGAACTATACTTTCCTTTCAGAATGGTGTAACTAAGTCCTGTGCAAATAAGCACTTCTTAATTGAATTCTGCCTGCTGCTAAATGTCTAAACATGAAAAGCAGTTTGGTTCTCAATCTGGCTAGGCCAAAACTTTAAAAGGAAAAAATAAATAAATAGAAATCATGAGAAGGGGGTGAGAAGGGAGGAGTATCTATCCCCTCTCCCTAGTAATGAAATGCCATAGAAAACTGAATCAATCTTAATATTCACGACATGGTCAATACCCCAATGCTTAGCTGTCAGCAGAAACTGAAGTGAAGCCCTGATAGCAAGAAAACCCTTGGACATTATGCAATATAATTTAATGAGAATTAAACACTTTTAGGCTTCTAAACTAAGAATCCTCAAGATTTAATGCTGAATGTCTCATTTTATAGTCAGGTAAAAATCATCTACCATTTTAAATCACAATGCACTCTAAAGGCAACTAAAAATCAACACAGAATAAAAGTAATTTAAAATGACTGGTTTCCAAAATGTAAAATACATCTTTAAAAAAATCACATCTATACTATGTGAATGAAAAACAGGAAAAGCCCTCTTTAGGCTCATTTAATATTTGCTGTTAATCATGGTTTAGCATATATGTATTTAATAGAGCCAATAACCCATTATCTTTTCTGGATTACTTATATGAAAGAAATAGTACTGCAGAGTGAGAAATCTGTTTTAAAAGCAAGGCAACTCGACTACCAACGTACCAATCCTGTGCACTGTGCTATTACTTGTACACTCAATTCAAACACAATCACATTTAAATAGCATCACTTGGATATAGCAATATCCTGGACTTCACTTTCTCCCTTGTCTCAACTTACAAAAAGGCAACTTTAAAACACGACATACACACCAAAACAAAAAAATCCCACACACATAGTGAAGCTTGTTCAGTGCACTCATTTGCCATTACAGGGAAGACAATGCTAAATATAAACAAAAACATCTAAATTAAATCGCTACTTCCACTTGCGCCTTAACATTACCTCAACACTAAAATACCTCCCATCAAAAAAGTCTGACAAAAAAGTCAAAATGAAACAAACTTCCAAAAATTTGTCTAAAAGAACCTGCAGCTTTCATTCTAGCACTTCTGCAAAGTCTGTCTTCTCATGTATTCCTTGCTCTGAACTTCAAAATTGCTTAACCTGCATCTGTGGAGATTTTCCTACTTTATATATTAGGCATGGTTACAAGTGTAACTGTAGATCAAGAGTTTAATAAAAGTATTAACAGATATAAATACGCTGTTTCTGCCTAAGCACAGCATTACCCTTCCTGGATTCTTAAAAGTAGTCTCCTATCTAAAACGCTAATTCTCACATGCTATGAGGTCTGTTCAATTGCATCTATTCTTCTATCAGCGGAGCTGAAGCTTAAGGCTAAGTAAAACAAAGTTCGAGCGATGCTTATGCCGGGGACTCAGTCCCTGGCATCCAGTCTCCCGTTGCTCCTTTTAAAAACTGACACACAAACAAGGGGAAAAGAAGAGAGGAGAGAGCGGCTGCCCCCTCCCCGCCCGCAGCCAGGGGCGGCCGCCTAGGGACAGGGACCCAGGCAGCACCTACACTTCGTTTTGCACTAGGAGCGGGATTGAGTGATCCACTCCAAATATATTGCAGTTTTGTTCCCCAAGATCAGGAGGTGTGGAAGAAGAGAATGATCAAAGATGGCGGTGCCCAAAAGCAGCAGCTCTCAACTGGAGAGCCGAAGGAGTAGCTCCGACCCCACCTCGGGGGTCTCCAGGCCCACCGCGGGGCGCAGCGTCTTACCTGTTTTCTCTTTGATCTCACACAGGACACTGAAGAGCGCGGGCTTCATTCTGTGACAGTTCAGGGCATGTTTCCTAAAAAAAACAAAAAACAAAAAAACAAAAAACAAATAGCAAAACACAGAGGTATTAGCATCACCTATGGAGTAATATGGCGCCTTCCTTTTAAGTTAGACCCAAGACTTAATTCCAGCCCCCTATTTCGGAAAGCTCTTTTCAACCATGGGAAGTCAACAAGAACTCAAGTTGACTACTTGGCGACAGCCGGCAGGCTCGGGCTGCGGGAGCTGCTGCAGCCGGAACGCAGCGCGCCCCATCTGCCCGGCAGGCAGCGAACCCCGCAGCGCGGGAGGCTCGCTCGGGGGAGCGGGCGGGCGGCGGGGACCCGCGGGGACGAGCCGGCGCGGAGGGGACTCCCGCGTCCGCACTCCGCGGGTGGGGGGAGCGGGCAAGCGCGGCGGCCGGCGGGCCGGGTGGTGACAGCTCGGCAAAGTTTGCGAGGCAGTCCTCCCTCCCCGAGAACTTGGCCTGCCGCACGCGGGCCGGCCAGGGAACCGCCCATCGCCAGGCGCGGGGCTGGGGCCGGGGCCGGGGCCCGCACGGCCAGGTCGTCCCGCGGCCAGGGGCAGCGGGCGCCGCGCCTCGCGGACCGCGGACAAAGTTGCACTTCCCTCCGGCGCGGCCCAGGGGTCCAGGCGGGAGCTTTAAATCCGGGGGAGGGGACCCGGGCGCGGGAGACAAGGAGACCACAAAACCGCGCGCCACCAAGTCCGTCCCAAGCCCCGGCCGCAACTTTGCCGACTCCCGCGGCGTCGGAGGGGGATCGCGGCAAGTGTCCCCGAGGCTCCAGACTGGAGGCCAGGATTTCCCAGAAAGTTCCCCGTCGGGGACTCAGGCCCTGGCCCCGTGGCGCCACCCCCGACCCCCGATCGGCCGCGGTGTCCGGCTTCCCGCACACACACAAAAGATGCTTAATGAGACGACACCAACTTTGCTTGCGCCTCGTCCAAGCTCTGGTCGGTGATGGTCATGATCTGGTGGAGGATGTCGCCGATGTCCTGCTTCCTGCCGTCGCCGTCCGCCCCTTCGTGGCCGTGCGGGGGAGGCGGCAAGGCCATGCCCCCCTGCACCGAGTGGCCGGCCAGGTTCACTCCGGCCAGAGTCTGCAGCATCCTGGATTGATCGTCCATCCCGCCGCACGCGGGCGGGAGCGGGCGGCGGCGGCGGCTAAGGCGAAGGCTGAGGCGGCGGCGGCGGCGGCGGCGGCGGCGACGAGGGAGGAGAAGAAAGAGGGGGAGGGGGAGGAGGAGGCGGCCGCGCGCTCCCCGCCCGCGCGGGGAGGGGGGCGGCCCGGCCGGCGGGGCCCGCGGCGGAGGCGATGCGGACCGGCGCCCGACTCCCGGCTTCCGCTGCCGCCGAAGCTGGGAAGAAGCGGCGGGCGGAAGCGCCGGGCTCCGCGGCGGTGGCGGAGGCGGAGGCAGCGGCGCCCGCTGCCCTCACGCGGCCGCCGCGCCGCCTCCTCCCCGCCGCGCGCCCCGCCGGGCGGCCCCGCGCAACTTGCTCCTCAGCGCCGGCCGAGTTGCCGGGACGCCGCCGCCCCCTGCGCCAGCCTGCGCTCTTCCCCTCCCGCGGCCACCGCGCCGCCGCCGCCTCCTCCGCCACCTCCGCCGGGCGGGATCCGGGCTCCGGCGGCCCCGGGGGAGGGAGCGGCGGCGGCGGGCGGCGGGCGGAGGAGGAGGCCGGCGGGCGGGCCGCAGGGAGCGAGGGGGGGGCGGAGGAGGAAAGTTTGGTTGCGGGCAGGCCGGCGCGGTGGGGGCGCGGAGCCCAGTGGAGGGCCCCGGCGGGCCGCGCGCGGGGCGGACAGCAGATTGATGGGGCGGGAGAAGTCGCCGCCGCCACCGCCGGAGCCACGCACCCAGCCAGCAGCTGCCGCGGACCGGGCTCGAAGGCCGCTTGGCTGAGGGATTGACAGGCTGCCAGTGCCACTCACTCACTGCGGCCCCGGCGCCCAGGGGGAGGGGCGGGGGCAAGCGGGGGGGGGGGGGGGGCGGAGGAATGCTTCGTATGTCCCGCCCCTGGGGGCGGGGCGCTCGCTCATTGGGCCTTACGCCTCCCGCCGCCGCCGCAGGCACCACCCTCAGAATTAGATCCGCCCTCTCTGGCCTCTAATGCTTGGCGACCGTGAACGCGCCTGTGATCCTCACGCGTCGTCTCGTCATAACCTCCCCCACCCTCGCGTCCCCGGGATGGACCGCTGGGCCCACAGACACGGTGCGGGAGCCCAGCTTGTGCTCCCTACTGATAGCAGTAATGGGTGTGAGGGTCGTGTATGGACCGGGGGCAACTTGCTCCAAAGCCAGCCGCGTGCTTTCCTGCAACGCCCGTCAGCTTCACGCCTCGGACAGCGCCAGGTTCACTTTCCCGCTCTTCCCATCAAGAGGTGGTACCCTTTGGGCACCAGGCCGCGCGTCTTGGGCCAATCGCATCACGCTCGGAGCCAAACGGGGCGGGACGGAGGCAAGAAAGAGCTATCCCAATTGGAGCGTTCGAAAGGTCCGGGAAAGAGGCGGGGAAGGAGTGGATGGCAGCCCCGCCCCCTCCCACGGTCGCCATAGTAACCGAGAGTGAGCTGCTCGGAGTTGGCGCCTGGGTTGGGGCCTTGCGCTGTCCCTCAAGAGGTGACCAGTTAAAGTGGAAGCCTGTTGTCACACATGCTTGAGACCTCAGCTGAGCGGATCAGAGTATCATGCACGTTCCCTGAAAGGGAAACTTAAGAAACTGTGTCGCAGGGAGGCAGGTCAGGTAGAGGAAAAGTGCCCCAAGTCCAGCACGAATTCGGGAGGGAGAAGGGGCGGGGGGAGGGGCCCAAATACTGTATACTCGTGAGTAAATGTAAAAACGATAAAAAGTTTTTTAAAAGCGAGCTCTTTATCTCAAGGATAGCTGTTCTTGTTTTTTGTCTTGTTTGTTTTAAGAATGGCAGGATTTTTCACTTATCGTCCTACCATGAGTCATTTAATTTGGGCGACTCCAGCCACAGATCTGCGTATGTCCAGACCTCCTTCGTACATTATATTCCATCTACAAATGACTAAAGATTCAAATTCTTTTGGAATCTGGACTCCACCTCCAGTGGAGACGAGCTTCCTTACTGATTTCCCAAGCAGGGGCTTCCCCAGGATTTCCCCATTTTAGACCCTTAGATTAGTTCTTTACTTAAATAGTTCTGAAAAGTCACCTTGTTTCTTCTCCAGACGCAAGAAGCTGTCTGACCTGAAACTAAAAATAGGGGTGCGAGGATATGAAAAATGGCTCTTCTCTGCAGGGTGTAATGTAGGACAAGCAGTTCTTTAAATGCCAGATGGATTCTTGGAATGAAGCAGGCTACTCAGTTCCAGGTTCTTTCCTTCGTATGTTGTGTGTACTTTTAAATACTCCCCACTGCAAAGTTAATAGCCATGCTTACAGTTAGGCAAGCTACAATCCTTACCAACTGGACAGCTGCTGAGGAGGGAGTTCCAAACAATCCACTCTGCCTGATACCTCCATAGAAGAGTCTCCTTCATTGTCCATTAATATTGCCTGCTCTTCCATGACCCATTCATGTGTCAAGTTTCTGATTCTTCTTCAAGCCCTCCTTATGAGTTACAGTCATCAGTGATTGGATTTTGTCTTTATTCTTAACTTGTTTCTCCAACTGTCACCAAATCCTTGTACATTTTTGTATAAAGGAGCAAGAGTGAACAGATAAGCTTTCATAATTCTCCAGTGCTAAAGATGTAAAACCACAGAATTTTATCTGAAAGATGCCTTACACTCTTAAGATTCCTTCCAGCTCTAAAATGCAACGATGCTGTGACTTACTGTTAGACCTCCTCCCTGCCCTCCTTCTAGGCTCATAACCTTGACTAATCAGTCATGAGGATGAGGCTAATTAGCAATGAGGATTTATGGTTATTTCTAGCCTACTCCAAACAATGAGTTATGTAAGGAAAGCAACATATATAAAAATGTAAATAAAATTAAAGAAACACTTAAGCAAACAAAGGCAATTGGGAACTATGCACTATGTAAACAAACCAGAACATGAAAACATAAATTAGAATTAAGAAACAGTTAAGCAAACGCCAGTAATTAGGAATAAAATAAACTTGCTAAATATCTAATATCTGTAGCTAGGTTTTGGCACACACCTCTAAACCCATGGTCATTCAGTGATGTGGAAACTTGGTACCATAATTCTACATTGAGTGAATGAATCAGATTGGCTTTTGCTTGGGAGGCTTCTCTTTGGGTTATTACTAGTATGAGTTGCAGTATAAAGCAAAAAGTTTCCTTGCTAGGATTCCCCCAGAGGCTCATTGACAACTGCCAAAGATTTAAAGCATAAATTCGTTCAGATTGGTTTCCAAGCCCCAATAAACAGTGTCAACTAATTGCAGATGCTCCAAGATCTCTTGTGCTTGTTTCAGTTTCTCAGATTAAATGTTGCCTTATCTCTGCTCAGCAATCTTCGAAACACAGTTGGTGCCTTCACAGATAATAGAATAGAACCTCCTTAAGTACCTGAATCCATCTTTGCTATTTCTAAGGCAGTGATTATTAAAAAGTCAAAGAAAATGTAATTTACTTGTGGCGAGTGGACATTCTTGTAAAGTTAACAGTGACAAAGCGGTGAAAACTAAGCAGGGCTCCTCCATGGCCATCCCTTTGCAGGAATTTACATTAATGTCACCCTTGCTTCTATCATCATTGTGATCATTACAGCAGGTGCCATCACCACACTTCCTGGGGCTAGGACCCTCATCTGTACTCCCTGGTTTCATCTTACTATAGCTTCACAACAGCCCTACCTGGTGGGGATTATTATTAAGTGAGAAATAGAAATGAGAGAGGTTAAGGAATTTGCATGAGACCACAAAGCCAGTAAGCACTGGAACTTGAATTCAAATCTTGATCTGTACGGCTGCAAGGAGTACTCTATAAAACACTGCACACAAAAAATTCAAAAGTAAAACCATAAGGTCCTAACACATGAACTGAAAATTAATAAAGTAACGAGGTACCTAATAAAAAGAGACTAAAAATCTCTACTATGCCTTATGAGACAAGAGCACAAGAGGAGAGAAATGATAGACCAAAGACACCAGACCATCCTTCATGACTACCTAGGACTCCAGCTCAATTTGCATATTTTCTCATCAAACTCATAAGCATGTTACTTTAAGTTATTTTAAGATTGACTTTTACATGACTGATTTGGTTTTTAAAAAAACTTAGACATCTAAGAAAGAGTTATACTTTCTAAGTTGTCACTTTAGGAGCACTGACTCAAAGCTTATTTCTGAAAAATATTGCTCCACAGCTTTAATAATGACTTGTTAGCCGGGCACTGGTGACTTATGCCTGTAATCCTAGCTACTCAAGAGGCAGAAATCAGGAGGATCAAGGTTTGAAGCCAGCCCTGGGCAAATAGTTCTTGAGACCCTATCTCAAAAAAAAAAAAAAAAACACCATCATAAGAAAGGGTGGTGCAGTGGTACAAGGTATAGGCCCTGAGTTCAAGTACCACACACACACACAAAAAGAATGATTTGTTATAACTGGTCTTTACAGTTGATATGCATGTGTGACAGGGCAAATATTCATCTTCTGGGAATGGATTTAACTGACTAATCAAAAGGTCAATGGGATAAATGTCCACCTTTCTACAATAAGGTCCTTAAACAAGAATATTTGGTTGAGACAAAAGGATCTCTAGTTAGAGGCCAGTTTGGGTCACATAGTAAATTCAAGGCCAACCTGGACTACATAGATGGCTCAAAAAAAAAAAAAAATGCCAGACATGGTGTAGTACTTCTATAGTCCCAGCTACTCAGGAGGCTGAGATAAGACGATCATGTGAGCCCAGGAGTTTGATGCCAACCTGAACAACCATAGCAGGGCCCTATCTCAAAAAAATTTTTTTACCTGTGCATAGTGGCAATGCCTACAATCCCAGCTATTCAAGGTGAGACAGGAGATTCTCAAGTTCAAGGCTAGCGTGGGCAACTCCTCTCAAAACAAAACAAAGCAAAAAAAAAAAAAAAATGTTTTTTTCTTGGTCTAGTCTTTGTACTAGATTCCTGGGAAGTAACATCTAAAACTCTTGGAATTTACCAAGTGAAAGGAATGCCTTTATTATTCATAAACTCTTGGACCACACCTGACTTTATGCTAAAGAGATAACTCAGGGTTGCAGCAGCTGGCCACCAGAAGGACCTGTCATATGATTAGAGGTTGGGGTTATGAGCAAACTCAACCTT